CCTCCACTTTGCGGCGACTGTCCCCTTCCGCGTGCCCTCCTCCCCCCCCCCTAGGTGGTCCTGTATTTTGACACCTCAGAATTCGCTGAAACTTGAGAACAGAAACTATTTTACTTGCAAATTACAAAACAATGCTCTTATGCTTTATAGATCTTTAATTATGCTAGTGTACGTAAACGATAAGGGGTCAAACATCAATGTGCTAGTATTTTGCAAGCCGGGCCTATTTGTGTTAACGAATATCATGTTATGCGAACAGCGGACGCCTTGATAACGACCCTCCCCCCCCCCTTAATTCCTCAATACGACCCCCCAGGTGTGGCATGCCACACCCCACGCTTGACCCTGGTTATAACTCTAAGTTTCGGCAAGTTTGTTACCGACCCAACTTTTTTGATTTCTTGTAAATCTAAAATTTTCTCACTAAAAAAGCTGTCTCCTTTGAAATAAAAGAATAAAAACCTAAAAATAATTCAATCTTATATATAAAGCTGAATGTCTGTTTGTCTGTCTGTCTGTCTGTATGTCTGTCTGTCTGTCTGTATGTGTGTACGTATGTTCCGAATAGAAAATTCCATTTCTGAACCGATCGGGACCAAACTTGGCACACATACACTTCGGGCCCCGGCGGGTGTCATAGGCTACTTTTCGTATCGATCGATATCGATTTTATCGATTTTTTGCAAAATTTGAGCTACGGGGCTGGGAGTTGGCACAGGGGGGGTAAGTAAGCATGGGGATTCGATAAATCAAGCAAATGACAACATTACAAAGTTCTTTCAACGATGCATGTTCTGTTTTTACGCACTACCTTCTGCCACGACGTCGTCGAATTTTCAATTCCGTCTTCCGAAAACTCAGCTGGTGTGGTCCCAAAAAAAGTCTAACCAGCGGCTGTGATGGTCTTCGGTCTCAAAACAGACCCCGTCCACATGAACTGTGGTAAACTGAAATGGATGGTAATATGCTGGCACGAGATCTCCAGGGTAGATTGGATATCAATGCATCTTCTGGTCAGGTTCTTGCGGCAGCCATCACGCCATTTGCCGTAGGGCAGTGGCCTATCGAGAATGGGTCGCAAAATTTTTGGAAGTTACTTAAATGTGTTATAAAAATTTGCAAATGACTTGTTTATACTTGAAAAAAAGAAATAATTTTTCAATTTCTCAAAAAAATCGGTTTTGCCTTATAAAAATTTTATCGGAGATAACTGGCATTACGCTTTTTCTTCTGGATTTTCGGGGTTAGGGGCCCCCAAAAATTTCAGAGCGCATACCAAAAACTTTCTCGGAGTGCGTAGCTAACGTCCCGCACCTTTATCAGAACATTTTGTCTAGCAATTTTCAATGCAAAAAGTCCTGCGTATTTCAAAAGTTTTGTTCACGGAACACTCTGCAAACCCTTTGTTTTTTGAACACGATCCGTTTCATATTGACAGCAAAACGCCATCGTCCATAATAGGCAAAAAACTGCACAAAACGGTTCTTTTTATCAAAAAAAGAGCAAGTACCAAAAATGTTTCCTTTTCGTCTCAAAAAATCCTTCTTTGGAAGCTGAGGAATTAGAGCAGATTAGGTTTTCCTCGAGATTGAATAGCTTATTTCTAAAAAGCATGATCAGCTCTTCTCAGTGATATGCGCATCTTGCCTCAAACCCTCCGTTCCTCGCAAAAATGAGAACAAGAATGAAAACTTATGCTTTTCACCAAAAAAGAACAAGAATAAAAACTTTATGAACTTACGAAACGCTAATATAACCATTTTATAGTCAAGCAATCAAGAAGTTCGACATAGCAAGATAATTTGCTCCATAATCTGTACAAGTCGTTTTGACGTTGTTCGAAATATTACACATTCGACCATTTCTGAACTCTGACATCGTGTAGATTATGCTAAGCGTACCCAAGGTTGTTAGTGTCTTTGCTTGCTATAAGCATACGTCAATCAAAACTTTTATGATCTAATTGTTGTTAACATAGATCAGAATACACTGTTGGCAGAATTATATGTTCACCATGAAATGCCGTAACTTAGTGGCTGTCGACGAATTGCTCTAATTGGTACAGCTTGTGTTCACAAGAATATTGTCAGTCATCAAAACAAGCCTCGTTCCATTTTACTATTTAAGAACAAGTCAAAATTCTGAAAAAAAGCAGTTTTGAAACATAAATGTTGTCAAGATGTAGGTCCACCTAGAGTTTTATTTGTTGGAGCACTTATTAACTTTAGAAATTATTTATGACTGAAGACACCCAACTCAGCTCGGCCTTTTGGAAAGAGATATATCTGAATTAGCTTGAAACGCATCTGCTGCTGCGCATCATTTTGAAACGAGTTGAGCGTCTTTACTGTGCGAAATTGACATACTATAACATGGGAAGACCGCCTGTAGTTGAAAATCGGCTCGAAAAAGATGCTAAGAATCGAAATAACATCATACTTTTTATCTTACAAGGAGAGGATACCTAGTCGAAAGCACCAATCTAAAGGAGACATACATCATCTAAAAGCGCTTGAAACGCTGATTCCAAATCTATAGTTTTTAGCTGCGGAGCGGTTTTGTAGAGTGAGTTGTGAGGGGTGTTTTCTTTGGGGTTGAGGCGCCCTTCAGATGTTGGCCCTTGCTATGAGCATTATAAAAACACAAAATGGTGTAATGGTAAGTAGTCTGAATGAAGATTAATAAAGATTATAGTATTCTTAATACTTTGGTTTTTTTCAACACTTCTAACAATATCTTCAGAAATGTCAGGCTTTGGGGCTCCAAAGCCATTTAGAAGCTCAATTTTGCAAAAATTGCGATAAAGTTGCGCGATGGGATTAAAATCTTGACACATCCCCTATCAAGCAAGTCACTTACCACTAGGCCAGTTGCCACCAGTTGGTACTCCTCTACAGTGCTCATACATACGGGATGACCTGCTGGAGGGCGCCTCGACTGCAAAGGGGAACACCCACGTACCTCCTTCTACAAAACCGTTCCGCAGCTAGAATCTATAGATTTGGAATCAGCGTTTCAAGCGCTTTAAGATGATATATGTTTCATTTGAATTGGCGCTTCGACTAGGTATCCTCTCCTTGTTAGTAACAATAAACTCAACAAAGTGTATCAGCACTTAGATGATGATGCCGTGATGCCAGTAAGTCAAATACGCTGATTTTATACAGAAAAAAGTCAATAGCTCGCTCTAGATTGATGACCGCAGCTGAGTATAATCATTTGGAATTAGCGTTTAGAGCTGATTTAGAATATGTATGTCTCTCTCCAAACGGCCGAGCTAACAAGTAAGTTAAGTTGTAAGTTACGTGCCTTCCCTTGTTACGTAGACACATTCGAAAGTGTTAAACAGTTGCTTTAGTCAAGCTGTGTCGTAACTTCAAATGAATCGATTGACCGTTTTTTGACTCAAAGATGCCTTCACGTGCATTTCGCTCCGCACATATAACTAGGAAATCCTCTGTTTAAGTAGGAAATTCTGCAGTCTTGTAATCTTATCTGTGTTTGGATGCTCTTTGACGTGCACGTTAGGGTTGTTTCAGACTGCCGCACTGACCGCAGCAGACTGCAGCAAACTGCAGCAGACCGCATTGACCGCAGCAGACTGCAGCAGACGGCAGCAGACTGCAGCTGACCGCACTGACTGCAACGGCCGCAGCGGCTGAAGCTACAGGTGGAGAGGACAATAGTTCTGGCTCAAACAAACAACAATATATATACCTAAGACCAAAAGGCAACGCGGGCTAGAATGTTACGAAACAAGTGTATGCAATGACAGGAGGAATTAGAACAAATACGAGCATACGAAAGGAAAACTATCTCAAAAATTTGATTGAGAAAAATTCTGATGAAACTTATAATCTTCTTATGCGTAAATCACGGTGTTTTTATTGTCGCGGTTGTTTTTTTCTTTTACGAAAGGAGGCAGCGACCGATGCGGTCAGCTGCAGTCTGCTGCAGTCTGCTGCGGTCAGTGCTGCAGTCTGAAACAACCCTTATGAGAAAATCCCTAAATTTTTGCTGCTGAAACAAATTGGCATTGAATCGCAAGCCTAAGGTCCATTCCTGCCCTAAAGTACTTCTTGAGCTCAAAACAGTAGAAACATTTTTTGCACGGAAGAAATTTGTACGCCGTACCAGCAAGTGTTCACAAAGCCGCCCTTTGCTTCAATTCGAAACCTGAGTTGTGCAACCCAGTGATGATGTTGAGCACTTCCAAGATAGCGGATAAAGTGTTAGTTCACTTGGATTTTTAGCGGTTATCATCCACTAAATAATGGAAACAGCTTTTTTGTATGTTAGCACATAATTCTCCTAATTTTAAAGGTCCGAATTGAGTTTGGCCTTGTATCAATCAATTTCTGCAGGGTTGTTTCCGCAATTGTGCCTACTTGCTAAGATCTCCAGTAAATTGTAACCATGGAGTATGGACTCTTGTTCGTACAAAAATTGCTTACTCTTTAGTGCTTCTGAGGGCACTGCAGAAATAGACTTAAGGCAGAAGTTCGACCTTAGACTTGCAGTAAGATCCATGTCGGGTTTGATCCGACAGCAAAAAGACAGTTTTTTTACTCATTCTCGCATCACCAAACATGGGAGAAATTCGTCGCTTCCGAACTAACCGAATATTTAAACCAAACGCAGGTTTCAGGAGCGGAGTGCATGTAGAAGCATCTTCAAGTTAAGAAAAGCAAATAATCGTTCATTTGAAGGTACGACATAGTCTGGCCAGAACTCTTTGACACTTCTGAATGTGTACATATACCTGGAAAATTTCGGAAGTCAAATGGGGATATAAAAACTTCAAATAGACCCATAATTTTGGTCAACCTTTAAGTCCTTCTCAAAATTTTTGATTTTTTGAATTCGAAGACCGTTTTGATGATTTTGATAGAAGGCTGGAATTCATCGGCATTAGGATGAGCTACGACACTTTTTGAATAGACCTATAATTCGGCAAGCACTGTATACAGTTTCCATTAAAGTCGCACATATATTTTCAGGGACTTTTTCAAAATGGCATCTTCTTCGCCTACGACCCACGAACTTATTTTGCAAGAATTGGAGATGGGACCCATCTGACCACAGTCGGTATCGAGCTTTTACGGCCTTTATACAAAAGGATTATAGAGAAGTTGCTTCAAGAACTAAATAAAGAATCGCTGCATCAAGACAAAGGGAAACAATGATGAAATTCTAAGGGTCCGAAAGTTCTGTCGTTTCATTTTCAAATATTTATAACTTTGCGCTATTTCAAAGGATTTGCTTGCTTGGAATTTCATTACAAAGAACAAGTCTTTCGCTTTCAAACATCACTCTGTCAAACTTCCGTTTCACACTGGATGCGGACTTAATAATGGAAAACTAAGACCATGTAAGCTTTGAGCATGTTAAGTTAGGTCACAAAAATCTGGAGCGCTGCAGAAAAATCTGAAATCTTTAGTACATATGTTTTTTTGGCCTACTCTTTGCAACTTTGAAGAATGTATGCTGTTTGGACGTCTTTGTGAGAAGTGATTTTTGAGAAAATTGGCGAATATTTTAACTTTAGCGTTTTCCATAGTAAACTTGAATTTTATAACTTTTCACAGAGGCGTCCAAACAGCACAAACTTTTCACAGTTGCAAAAGAGTAGGCCATAAAATATATGTACTTCTATTTCAGATTTTTCTGCGGCGTTCCAGTTTTTCCTAAACGACAGACTTTTGGACCCACCTAGTAGAAATATCTAGCATTTTTGTACTATGCTCCCCAATGAGACAATATGTGTATGACAAATAAAGCTTCTTTGCTGTTTTTTTTTCTGCCTAGCTCATACCAAACTTGTCTGCGTGATCACCCTTGTTTACGAGTCTGCGTGATCACCCTTGTTGTTAAGGCTCGGCTACCATATGTCTTTTCTTGGAGTGGACTAACAATCCTTAAATGGCATGCCCGAGTTAGAACATGCATATGCTTAAGTTGTATCAACTTCTTTAAGTCATCCTTCATTAAAACGCTGCTCTATCCTCCCCTGCCTATGGGGCGGCGATGAGTATGTGATGTAACAGTGTAGAGGTTCGGTAGGCCTTCAAATGTTTCTGGCTTGTTTGACTTTTTTTGAGGTAAAACATAGCTTTCAACTTAAAATCCTTCTCGAAGTTCCTACCGTAGTCCCACAGTATGAGAAATGAGTGATTGGCTCATTGTGTATCTAACAATAAGATGAACCGCGCTCCACAGAACAGTAACTCAAGTTCGACGAAAGACATGGAAGCAAGGGAGTTATCAACGAAGTGGCGCATTTTTTAGGACCCTTGTATATTGAGTCATTCCGGAAGCTTTTTTTTCAAAAGCGCGCCATATTTGATGGAACAAAGGTTTCTGAGAAACCTTGATAGCATTCGATGCAGAATTTCATTCTCGTTCTAATGGATATAAACTCATTGCAATATAATAATTGAGCTTTCTAGAAATTCGCTACGCATGACTTTAAGATGCTCAAATTTCGAAAATTTAAACTTTTACGTCAAGCCTCCGAAGGAGTATAAATAATAAGTGAAACCCTAAAAAAACAGCACGACTTTTCTCTTCTTCCAAATTTCACCATTCTTTGGAATTTTTTTTTCTAATAAAACCTCTGGATTTTGGCAGGCCTACGTCAGATACAAACGCACCGAACCGATGAATCTTTTACAGAGCAAAAGAGAGTCTACGGAATTGGTATATCTAATTTCGAATTTTTCATTACAGCCCGGCGCACGTTCGAAAACATAAATTCCGATATTTTTATCCCTGGAGATTTCACAAAGCGGAAACAAAAAGACAGAGGAGAAAAAGCTGCACCGAACGACATCCAAGATGCTTACCGTTTGGAGTTTTGGAGGTATGAGTTGACCAAAAATGGAAGTTGGTAGCATTGCTTGAAATTCGAAATTATTATGAGTTGAGGAATGAGAGAAACATTGTTTTGTATCCTGTAGAGCTTGTTCCATCCACCCTTTACTCGGAATTTTTCGAAGGTCTGACATAAAAATTTGGAAAAAGTCGTGAAACTTGAGCATTCCAAAAAACCTGAGCAGGATTTTGGTTGTTTCAAAAGCTTGTTATTAGAGAGATGATGGAATGCTGCATTGCATGCTACTAAGCTCCACTAGAAATCTTTGTTCCATTAAAAGTGGCGTCCCCTTTAGAATAGAGAAGTAACTTTTAGAATGATTTAATATAAACGTAAGGTAACAGATTGCAGAATGTCAACTGCTGAGGAGAAAAACATGCATAGAAAGGCGTTTGATGCTTGAGCAGCGCTGTCAAACAATTGTACTTCGACGTGACGCGGTCGTGATGCAGAGGCAAAAAAATACCGTTATAGACTGTGCAAAAGCCTGTTGATTCGGATAGTGGCTGCTACTACCTATCCTATCTGTTTATTTCAGTAGCAAGTTACCATCATTGCATTAAGATGTTTTGCTGGTACGATTCAATGTGATTGCAGTCATATGAATTTCAAATGTGCATATCATCTTTTCCATAATGTCAACCTTATGATGTGACTTCCAAACCGTTCTTACACATTTTTGTATATTACTCGATGAAAAACAATTTTTGAGCTATCTAAATTTTTGGAAAAAAAACTCCAATTTTCGAAACACATTTACAATATGAAAATGCTTTTTTGGTTGCATCTACTTTGCTAAAACTTTTATGCATGATGGAAAGTAATTTGAGTATCCGAGTCTGGCGTAATAAAAGGTGGTCTTACTCGAGGTTATAAAAGGTGCGAAGATTGTTTCAGGTAAGGAGATCGTAGGAGATTCTTCCACTCGGGTGGTCATTGCCAAATTAGGTAATTTTCGAAAACTAGGGCGTTTGGAAAGGTGAAAATTTACGGTTATACTTCTAAGGGCTTGTAGTATACAGCTACATAAATAGAAACAGCATAGCTTCGTTTTTGTATAATCAAGAAAATTTTCGTTTTCTCGATTTTGAAATGAGGAAAAAATACAGCAACGGTACATTTGAGGGTTTGATTCAGTGTGCAATGTTTATGAGCAAGCTGGAGATTCGTAAGGATTTTTTTGAACAAAGATATGAATTTTTCGCGATTTTTTGGGCCTTCAGTACGAGTCAGGTTTTGGATGCAAACTTACAGTGGGTCGAAGTTGGTGCCAACTTTTGCAGACCATCTTGTAGAGCTTGCTTTGCTCTATCGAATGGTTCCCTGGAGCCTTGTCAAGAATATGAGGTGCATGACTTATCGCCGTAAGAGATTAGAGTGTAACAAGACTTATGTAACAACCTAATAATATCTCGCGAAGTCATTTCTTGAAGCGAGACTAAAGCTCGCTCAAAGCTTTCTTCTAGACACTCTTAGCAAACATTTCCTGCCGCATAAAGCCCTCTGGGTCTTCCTTCCCCTAAGACCAAGCTTCCCTTGCTTCTTCTGCTTTTAGGTGCAGAGGTGCGATTACTCGAAGTAGAAGCGGTCAAAAGTGGAGATCACTTTGAGAAGCGAAGTAAACTTGGTCTCGAGGGAAGGAATGTCCCAAAACTTTGCTTTTTTGCTAAAGAGGGCAGAAACATGATTTCTGCAATGTAAAAGCGGCCAAAAGTGGGTTTCAAGCAATTTTTTCAAAGTTAGCATTGACCTTGCCACATAGGCCCTTGGTTCCTTCCCTCGAGACAAAGTTAACTTTGCTTCTTTATTATAGGAGATAGAGGTATGATTTCCGCGAACTATTATATTAGGTTGTAAAGAGAGTCCAAGCAGTTTTGAAAATTTCATTTTCTGATGCATTTCTTTTCCGCTCCGTCGGACTTTGACATTTTTTACACTGTTCAGTAGAAGGAGACCTAATCTTTTCAAAGCTCTTTTTAATTTTCATCGATGCCAAAACATGTATGATCTGCACTTCAAAAAACGAAATCTTTCTAACCATAAATATTTCAGAATTTTTCTTCCTGCGACCATTTTTTGTGCAATTTAGGTTTTCGTTCAAATCGCATGTGATCCAATCGAGAAGACTGTTAGCTTCTGACCCGCAGTCGCACTCGAGTTTTGCGACCTACGCTTAGAAATTACAACTTGTCAAACTTGACTCTGACTGCAACTACTTTCGCAGATGACATCGCTATGACATCGCTTCTGCGAGGACCGCCACTTGGATAATGGGTCCAGAAGATGTATAAGGCATTACCCCAACAATCTTCGCAGTAATCAAAGATTTGGTTCATCTTATGTAGAACGAGAAGACTTCAAAGTCACTTACTCGAAGTAGGCATTTTTGGGGCAAAAAAGGTCGATTTTTCAAACTCTGTGGAAGAACTTATTTTGCAGATAGTCGCTCAAAGGCGTAAATAGTCTCTATGATAGCCCAACAGACTTCTATACAACTTTAGCATATGAGCTGTCCAGCCTCTCATCATGGCTGAGATATTCTGCGCAAATAGGCCACTTTTCTCGTCGATCTTTTTTCCTTCTGCGCATGCTGGTGGACAGTAGACCGCAGCCGCAGTGAGGTGCTGAAAAGCCAGCAAGGTAAACATATGTTGTAGAAAGAATTGTCTTTGCAACGAAGTTGTAGCTTCAAGAAAGAATCGATTTGCTTGAAGTTACAGGACATGGAAAAAATTTTCGCGTGTGCCCGAGAACTTTCTTTACGAAACAATGAAAGCAGTCAAAAGTAGATTTCAAGAAAGCTTTTGTATAATTTAGCATTAAAAGTGAAAAATTCCTAGAAGAAGAAATGTTTGCCGCTTGAAGCTCTTGGAACCTTCCTTTCTTGGACACCAGGGCCCGTAGTAATCCCCCCGTCATGAGGGTCGCGACGTTCGAAACATCGCACGTACCCAGCACGTGTCGTTCCGGCCGCGTTTCGTCGCGCGCCTATCTCTTATCACAGCCGCGCGGCGAAATCGTACGACGTCGTGACTGCAGGACGTGCTCGTCCTCGCGCGCAGAGGACGAGCACGTCGTGAACGTCGTCACTTAAGCGGCAGAGAAATAGATATATTGGGCCCAGCGTGGAGACGCAGGAAGGCGCAAGTGACTAGAGGTCGAGTACGCCGAGCTCGCGACCTTGTGCAAGGACCGTAGGCACACAGCAATAAGTTCAACGCACGCCGAATGCAATCGATATCAACAGCTGATAAGCGCCCAAATGTAACGCGCCGAACGTCTTATTCCGTTTTCTTAGCATTTCTACTGCTATATTTCTTGTAATCGAAAAAAGGTGAGTTTATTTTGACTATGATTTACTCCAGAATTCTA